TTTGTATAAATTAAACATGAATAAATGAATCACGTATAAGTGTTTATAGACTTTTTCTTAAATGAAAGGATTTTTTTGTTATGTTGTTAAAAAGAATTGGAAATCGATCGGTCTATTAATTTAGAAGAACCACAAAAATAATATATAAAAGAATTGATAAGAAATCGGATGAGCCGACTTAAAATTAATAAAAATAGGTCAAGATTTGTTTCAGGCTGAGTTGAACTAACACACACATACATACATATATATATATATATATTCTAATCTTTAATCAATATCTTAATTAAGACACTTGTTAACATTCTTTAATTATATAAAAAAATGAGTTAATTTGGATAAATTTCTTAACAAGTATTTATAGAAAAAAGAATAAATATTTTTATATAAATTAAAATTAATTTATACATATTAATTTACAGACCTTAGCTTTTTAAAAATTTCTTCATCTAACTTTTTATGTATAAGTATTTAAAAACTTATAGAAGTTCAACATTTTTACCTAGAAAGGTTTTAATAGTAAGATTGTTAAGATAATAGTAGGGTTTTATAATTGACAAACTCCCAAAAGCTTAAAACCTTATCCAAAGTGGGCCTGTAATAAATATGTTACAAGGGAATGAGTAGTGTTAGGTGCTATAGTCATACCTGCATGTACGGCTGTACCTATATCCACAAAATCATGCAAGTAATTTTTTTATACTTAGACTTTCCACTTGGATGATTAATATAAATTTTTATTCCTTATGAGTAATTTTTATGAATAACGATAAAATCTGAATATGATATTCGTCCTAAATGGGATCTTACATGATTTGTTTAATTCACACCCACCACTAAATGGGAAATTCGTTTGAAGAAACATAAAAAGAAAAGTGTTAATTTCTGAAAAAGACCACCTTACCCGCTATTCTATTAATAATTCTAAGTACTGTTTATTCAAAGAGAATAATCCTTATTTTGGAAACTTGAAAACATAGTGGAAATTAAAGCCAATTCCAGTCGAATTAGATATAAAAGATAAATGTCAGTGAAATTTAGGCAATCCTTGAAAGATGTTATAAATTACTCCATAAGTTTGTCACGTACATTTTGTTAGATGAAATCAATTAGTGCTTTAGTTAATATAACTTTAATTAACTAACTTTCATTTCACTATTTATATAGTAAAAATGAAATTTGTTTCCGCAACACGAGCCGAAATCATGCATGTAATAAAAATTTTCAATATAAATTATATAATCCTGTAAGATGGATTTGGTAATAAATTAATAATATATATTCATCTATATGAATTCTCTCTGAACAAAGATTCTCTGGATCTGCTTTAGATTGATAAAAGGCCACAATGAGACATTGATCTATTCTAGTATTTATGTGAGAGATATATATAAAGATATTTCAACCACTAAATCATTATTGTGTCGGAAGAGTGACGATTTTGGATTGGGAATTCGGTTCTCTGCAACTTACACATTTAAGGATAAGGTTGCATATCTTAGTCCAAGTAAAAATGAGGTTAAACAATTTAATAGAAGATATTTGATGCAAATAGCTATATACTCCAATTCATAACAATATAAATGCTTCAAATCGTGATATATATATATATATATATATATATATTATAAATTTCTACATCATATTTATTTTTAACAAAATAAAAATTATATCATTAAGATATAGAAAACAAAATCCAAATTGTTCCCTCTTTCTTGTTCATGCATGTAAACTAAAAAATTTCTATTAGCGCGTATGAGAAGGGGTCTTTGCACATGGTTTAGATCTCAAAAGAATTTGAGCAGCTTGTAATATTATTGAATCTATTTGACACAGATTCTTAATTAACAAATACGATTACCCTCTTTTCATAGTGTTGATTTATGAGTTACTTTTGCTTTGTCCTTAACAAATAGCATTGAAACTTTAGAATATTTTAAATTTTCTAGTGTTGTTCCTGGAAATTTTAGCAGCTTTGATTCCATTGGATATATTGCAATGGTTTGAAAGAAAATGCACAAGTGACTCTTATTTATCCACGTCTTGGTATGGAAAAGCGAAGAGTACGTGATGGGTTGGTGACTTATCTTTGCATTAGCACCAGTGTTTTCTCATTTGGTGGATATATACGACAACCAAAAGTTTGATTAATAATTAAATCACCAACACGCACTGTATATATAATTGGAATTATGGGTGGAAATGTTAGGCAAGGTTCGAGCAAGTTCAGTCTTATTGCTTAGTTTAAATGTGGAAATTCTTTCTCCTACTTTGCATTTTTAATTAAGTTTCATACGATAGCCCACATATTAATTGCACAGAGTCAAGAGACAAAGAAAGTGTCCAAGAAGGAAAATAGCTAGGAAAGTGGTTGCCAAGAAATTCGTCCATTAAGTTTGAAAAAATATTTTTTATTTTTAATTATAAAATGTCGCTTTAATCTTTTTATTTCATCTTTTTTTTTTTTTAAAGGTTTATATAGAATTAGTTAAAACAACTTATTTTTTCTGTTTTATTTTAAATATTTGAAAACAAAAAAAACAAAATGAAAATACTGTGATGCAAATAAATAGAAAATAGTTTTCTTTTTCCAAAATAAATAGGTTCTATTTATCAAAGGGTAAAGGAAATAGAAAATGATGCAAATATTGATAATTGTAGGTTGTATGTATATGGTGAAATATTTTATAAGGAGAAAAAAATCTACTTTTGATGATCTTTATAGTGTTCTAAAAGGATTTGTTCCAACTTCCAACGTGGGCCGATGGAGTCTTAGATTATTTGATTAAGGAATAAATCTTAGATTATTGATCAAGAATGATTCGCATTAAAAGAGAGAGAAGATTGAATGGTGATTATTATAATTACAATTTTCCAAAGTAAAGAAAGGTTAATTGGTGAGTGCTTTCCGTGAGTGTTTTTCTTCATTTTGCCCCATGTAAAGTTCAATTGAGTGGTTTGATTAAAGGACAAAGAGAAGTGGCGAGTTAAAGTCAAATTTGGCTGCCATTAATATTGTTTTTTGTTTTTGATGTTCACAGTTAATAAGTGGGATCATATATCAGTTAATTAGCACGCTTTTGGAAACAAACATCTGTTTTTTTACATTAAGGTGGGATTAGACTAATGTGACCATAGGTGCCGGGATGTTAGTGTGAGACAAGATCATAATCTAATTAAAATTATCCTTAAGAGCTACAACTGTTCTGAACGGGGATGCAAATCATTGTTGTTTGACATAACAATCAAAAGGGAAGCAATGAGGAAAAAGCCTACAACATTTTGACTATATTGTTTATTTGTCCCAATCATGCTTTTACTATATCTAGGGGAATAGGGGATCACTTGGATCATTCCGTCTACCATTAACTATATAGATCAAGGTCAATTGAATGCAAACTTTCGAGCTTGAATGCACAATTTAGAATTAATAGACATAATATTTAAAATTTATTAGAATTGATGTAATTTATGTGTATGAAAATTAAGACATAAATTAATATTACATCGAAAATTAACAACATCAAATATTTTAGAATTTTTTTAATGCTAAAAGTATGATTATTTTGGGACGGAGAGAGAGAAACAAAATGACCACCTAATGCATGGATTAGCATTAATTTTTTTCTTCAATTAACTAGAAGTTTTAAATTCAAATCTTGGATATGTAATTACATTAAATAAAAAAAATTATTGCTTATAATAATTTTATTCGATTTAAATAAACTTATCTTTTATAAGTAACTATAATCTATAAATAAAAGAAGAAAAAAAACTAATAGAAAGAAAGCTAGACTAAGAAATGATTTGGACTTGGCCGACTAAAGAAAAGATTAAAAAAAAAAAAAAAAAAAAAA